GATAGATTGTACAAGTTGTTCTAATTTCTTGGGGTTCAGGCTAGGTGGTTGGTTAGGCTTTTGGCACTTTGGTTTGGTCTTGGACACCTTGGAGGTTTTAAAAATGTGAAAAAAGAGTGGTTTTGGTTTCGAGGAGTATCCAACTTTTTAATATGATATATTTTAGAAATGAAACCAGTGTCTTTAATTATTTTGCTAAATAAGCTTTTTGTAGACAACTAAATCATCTCGAATGGATATTAGATGAAGATTTGGGGAGCTTCAAAAATTGGCCTCCGAATCTGTCTTAGGACAGCAAGATAGTACAATAGAATCTTTTCCAGCATAGTAGAATAAATTGTGTGTGTACACTTTTTATTAGTTTATAATCATAATTTGAATTCTATTAACTACAATAAACCTTTAACCTTGATCTTTGTCTTTTTCTCTTGTGGTTGGCTCTTTTAACTACATTTAATTTCTTTTTATCATGGTAAAATAATTAAGGTAGTCGTTCCTTAATTACCATAATAATACATGGTATTATGATTAAGATAGTGGAATAAATTAAGCAATATTACTTTGATTGTTAAGTTGGGTGAGAGAGGAAGAAGTTTGACCTACAACGTCAGGTGGCATCTAACGTGCCCTACTAGACATAGACTACTACTTCATCAAAATCCTCTCAGGCATTAAAGCAAAAGGCATGTGTACGGGCCTCATTGGATCCATCATCATCCCTTAAGCCTCCAAATGGCTTCCTAAACTCTTAATGGAAACAACAATGTCACCTATGGCAAATCCTTCCTTACTCAATTCCAAGAATCCTTAGAAAGCATGACTGTTGGGAAACCAAAACAAAAAAACAAAAATTGAACAAAACCTTTTATTGAATACATATGCCTCATGGTTACTCGTTTTCATGTGGTGCTACATGTACTGATCATTGTATATGGATTCATATCACCTAACATATATTTATAGTCCAAATAAGCATACAATAAAAACATAAATTGGGCCTGAACACCTAGAAATAGCCCAGAGGCTCAAAACAATCTACTTTCCAATACTCCCCCTCAAGTGGGACCCGAAGAGATTCAAGGTACCCAACTTGGATAACATTCGCTCATGAACTGTTTTCCCAAGAGCTTTGGTCAAAATATCCGCTTCTTGTTCGCCTATTCTGACATGTTTTTAGGCTTATCAGTCTATCTTGAACCTTCTCACAAACAAAATGACAGTCTGTCTTTGTGTTTTGTCCTTTCATGGTAGACTGGGTTTAAAGCTATTTGAATAGAAACCTTATTGTCACAATGCACAGGAATAGGAGTTAAGTTAGAAACATGTAAATCTTTTAATAATCCATTTATCTAAACTAATTTAGCAACTATACCACCTATTGCTCTATATTTGCCTCAGTAGAGGACCTTGAGACAGTTTGCTTTGCTTTTAGATTTCTATGAAATTATAGCTCCTCCTAGTTTTATTAGAAATTAGTGACAGATCTACGTGTTTTAGGATATGTCCCCCCAATTTGAATCACCAAAGCCTTGTAACTTCATACTTTCTGAAGAAGAAAAGAAGATCCCTCGACTAGGATTTTTCTTGAAGTACCTAACTGTATTCAATGCTGCTTTTCAAATGAGATTTTTTAGGATTTTTCATAAACTAACTTAATGTTTGAACTGTATAGCTAATATCTGGTCTAGTTGTGGTTAGATACAAGAGCTTCCCTATTAGATGTCTATATCTAGTAGGATTTGTAAGTTGTTCATCCTTCTCCCCCTTTCTCAGTTTACTACACAGCCTTAAACCAGGATTCATTAGCACATCTCTAGGTTTTGAAGCTCCTAAACCTGTGTTTGCTATCAGATCTAGAGTGTACTTACACTAATTGAGAACAATTCCTTTACTTGATTTTGCTATTTCAATCCCAAGAAAGTATTTTAATGAACCTAAATCTTTCATTTTAAAATTATTATGTAGATAAGTCTTGGTTGTTTCAATTCTTGCTTGATTGCTTCCAGTTATAACCAAATCATCTACATAAGCCAACACAATAATGAATTTATTCTTATATTGTTTAGTAAATAAAGAGTAATCAAACTTGCTTTGCATAAAACCACCAGCAATTAAAGATTCACAAAGTTTAATATTCCATTGTCTAGCAGCTTATTTCAGACCATATAATGATTTTATCAATTTACATACTTTCTTCTCCCCCTGTCCACTAAATCCTAAATGCATCTTCATGTAAACTTCTTCATTTAAATCCCCTATAGGAATGCATTGTCAACATTCATTTAAAAAAGGTTCTAATTATATTTGGCTGCTGCTATAACTAAAATTGACCGAATAGTAGTCATTTTGCTAACAGGGGAGAATGTTTCTGAATAATCTATTCCCTCCTTTTCACTGAAATCCTTTGTAACTAACCTTGCCTTTAGTTTATTTAAGCTACCATCAGCATTATACTTTTTCTTAAATACCTATTTGCACCCTATAAGTTTCTTTCCTAGAGGTAATTCAACTATCTCCCATGTTTTGTTTCTTTTAGGGCACTAACTTCATCCTTCATGGGTTCTATCCATCTTTCATCTCTAATAGCCTCCTCAAAAGTGTTAGGTTCAATTAGGCCATCAGTTTATGCTGTAAAATCCTCATATGACTGTGATATGTATGCATAACTTATACTATGATGCATAGGATATAAGATCTTCCTATTTCCTTTTCTATCTACTTTGTTGACAAACTCTAAACTTAAGCAGTCATAGTCTCTAAGCTAAGATGGTGATTGACAATTTCTAACGAGCCTATTATTATGTAAAACTAAATTATTTTGTGAAACATTATTATTTGATATATTCTCAGTCATGGGATTAGATATGACATTCAGAGGAGGACTAGGAACATTATCAAATAGGAAGGGATTAGAAAATCTTACCAAATCTTGGCACTGTGTAATAATATCTTCATCTATAAAAGGAAACTGATTCTCAAGAAACACAACATCTTAATTAATGAAAATATCATCACTTTTAATATTATACAGAATGTAACCCTTTTGATTATTTGGGTAGCTAAAAAAATGCAACTTTTGGACCTGATTTTCAAACTTATCTAGTTTCCTAGAAGTTTAGCATAAGCTAAACAACAAAACACCTTCAAGTTAGACAAATCTAGTTCCCTTTTATATAACAGTTTATATGGATTTTAGTAGGTCAGAACCTTAGAAGGAATTCTATTTATCAAGTAAACCACTATTCAAATGGCTTCTCCTTAAAATTTTATTGGTATGTTAGCTTGAAAAATCAGACTTCTAGAAACTTCTAGGATATGTCTGTGCTTTCTTCAACAACCCCATTTTGTTGGGTGGTGTAAATGCAACTAGTTTCATGAATAATATCATTTTCTGAAAAATTGGTAGAGAGATCATGAGACATGAATTCAGCCCCATTATCACTCTTGATTTTCTTAACCTTGGTTTTAAATTGATTTGATATAAGGTTAAGAAAAACTTTCAGATGATAAAAGATTTTTGTTTGTTGTTGTGTATTAAATAAACCCATGTATAATGGATAAATCATCAACGATAGTTAGAAAGAATTTATATCCTTGATGGGTCGATTCCTTATAAGGTCGCTAAATATCGACATGAATCAGATTAAAATAAGCTATACTCTTTATTCACTAGAAGGAAAAGATAACCGAGTTTGTTTGGACTTGAAACAAGTATCACGATGAGGATTTCAGTAAAATCTACCTTGGTTGTAAAGATGGAACATTTCTAAGGATAGAGTTGGATGGGTGCCCTAGTCTTAAATGCCAAATATTTCTTTGAGAAATATGACTACTAGTAAAAAAAAAACTATATAAAGAAGGAATGCATTCTTCTATGACATACAAACCAGTGCTTATCCTATCAATTGTTTTGGTCTTGCCATTGGAGAGATCCTGTAACATGCAAACATTAAGGAAAAATGCCATAACACAATTTTGTTCTTTAGTGAGTCGTGAGATAGAGATTAAATCATAGCATATCCCTAGTACATATTAAAACATTGTCTAGTGTCATCAAATAATTTTATTCTTCCAGTGTCTGTAACAGTCAATTAGGCTACATTAGGTACTTTAATTTTTAGTGTGGGTCTAGTATAACTTTCATATTGTCAAGAAAGGATAGATTGCTCACTACATGATAAGTAGCTCTTGAATCTAATAACCAATGTGCATATGTTTTGTGGTGTAGAAGTTAAGGAAGAGAAAATCAAACCTAAGGACTCAAGCTCACCCGAGTCTTTTGTAGTAATTGCTCCTATTGTAGATGTCTTGACGGATAATGCCTTCACCTCTTTTCTCAAGTTTTCTATGATTTGGTCATACTCCTTTAGAGAAAGAATTTGATGCTCAGATGAATTTTAAAGTTGTGATTTGGATGGATTTAGAGAATTAAACCCCTCAGCATGATTAGCTATCTTGAATTGGATCCCACTGGTACAGCCTCTGCCTCCTTGGAAATTTGAGGGAAAACCAATTATATAGAAATAGTTATCCTTTATATGCCCCCTTTTGTGGCAGTATGCACATTCATCAAATTAATTTCCTTTAGCATGTCCTTGGCCATATCTTCCTTTGCCTCTTGTTGCCATAGCAGAGTATTCAGAATTTCGAAGTGAGATGAAGTGATCGATCGTTGAGCCTCCTCTTTAGATGCCATTGAGTAGGCTTGATTTACAGTAGGCAATGGTTTCATAAGAAGAATATGACTTCTTATAGCTTGATATGATTATTAAGGCCTGTGAGAAATTGGAAGAGCCTTTGCTATTGCATATTTCTCCTATACTCGATGGAGATGTTACACTTACAACTCGAAAGAAAGACTATAGTCGAATATTCCTCCCATAGTTCCTTAAGCTTTGTAAAATACACAGATACGAACAAACCTCCTTGGTTGAGAGAATTTGTGAGATGATGCAGCCCATAATTTTTGTTCCTTCTGTAATATCGAATCGTTCACACAGATCTTCCCAGATAAGGTAGGCATCTTCAGAGAAAGTGATGCTTGCAGCGATTTCCTTCGAGACAAAATTAATCATCCAAGAAAAGATGATGACTATGTTGCATTTATCCCATTAAGCCTAAAATTTCTCCTGAAGCATTCTCTTCTACAAGATCTGTTGACTATCTTGATCTTGTCTTGGCTTGAAGCACCATCATCATTGCACGACTCCAGATGGCATAATTTGTCGCTCTGATAAGTAGCTATGCAAGTAGGGTTATGGCTTGGGTGTTGAATGGATGCATATAGAGTGGGTGATTCATGTCTAGTGTGAAAGCAGTGGATCATTCTTCTTCAAAATTAGGCATGATGTCCGGAATGGCTTCTTGTTGGATGCTGATAAAGATAAGTGGGGGACGAGGACGATGACAGTGAGTGTGAAAAAGGGGAGGAGATTGGATCATCGAATCAAGAAAGATGGAAAAGATCAAGAGAGTTAGGGTTTTAGGAAGAAGCGGATATGGGTCAGGGCAATTTCAACTCGCTCTAGTACCATGTTGGGAAATCAAAAAAAAAAAACTGAAACAAAACCTTTTTATTGAATACGTATGCCTTATGGCTGCTTGTTTTCATGTGGTGCTAAATGCACCAATCATTGTATATAGATTCATATCACCTAACATATATTTATAGTCCAAATAAGCATACAATAAAAACACAAAACTGGGCCTGAACACCTAGAAACAACCAGAGCCCCAAAACAAACTATTTTCTAACAGTGACAAGTTCATAGATGAAGAAGTGATTCTTGTCAAAATGCTCATTGAATCTCTCCCTCTCAGGAAGGATTCAATCACCTGCAATTTCTTGTTTCTCTTTCTAACAAGGATGACAAATATGGTAGGCATGGATCAGAGTTGAATTACAAATTAGAGCTAGAGACAAGGATATCATGGTAGCTAGATCAGGCGTCATTGAAGGAGATAATGATACCGTCATTAAGCCACATGTACGTGCGGGGCGCTGTTAGAATCAGAGCTTGTGGAAGGTTGGTGAAGAGGTTTGTGTGGTTAGACATTGACGAAGGGAATAGTGGGTGGCTCTAATGAAGATAGTGAAGTGGTAGATGCTTACATGGCAGAAGTTGTCTTGGATGCAAATTTGAGCTTGTCGGATTTCATTGCGCTTGCTAGATGATAAGAGCATACTGTACTGATAAATATGCATAGATGTTGGACTATAATTAGTTAAACTTATTAATATTTATACCTATTTTAATAATTTTTATGTAGTTTCCTCCAATCGCTCTATTATAACATAAGAAGAGATTTTGATACATGATCTACTCATATTTTATTTCTTTATGCTGTGCACAAAAAATTCAGAAAATAAATTAAAAGACGGAAGAAAACAAGAAGATGGAACTTTTACTATATATATATATATTTGTCAAGAAGAGAATATATATTATTTTATATATATATTATATATATATATGAAAAAGAGGAGAGAGAACAATATATCTTGGAAGAGAAAAATATTAGATTTCAAATCAAATAAAATCAAGAGAAAACTATATTTTGGTATTTTAGAATAATTAGGAGATTTTATCTGCTGAATATTATAAATAAGGGCTTGTAGGGTTATTCAAGGATCTAATTTCACCACTTGAGAGATAGGAGGTAGAGCACAGAGTGTAGAGAAGTTCCTCTAAGATGGGAGTTTTTTCTTTCTTTACGCTTCTTATTTCCTCTATGTTTCTATTGGAATGTTTTTGAATTGACTTTATGAATTGTTGCTAAACTCTCATTTGGGTAGGAAATAGCTTGATTGGGATGGATTTCACTCTTTTATTTGGTTATTTTATTTTCTTGTTAAAGTTAACGTCTTGTCTATGAGTTTTAATGTTTCTATTATATTTATCTATCTCATTTTAATTACATCATATAGATTGCTACTTTATAGATTGTCTACAAGTAGTTTGATAAATAAAAAGGTGAAAAACTTACCTACACCTACAGAGATAGACGCAAATCACCAGATTATGAATAATTTAAGAATTTGTGGTAGCTTAGATTGTAACTTTATGGTTTATTTTGAGAGTAAAATTTAGTGAGCACTAAATTTAACTTTGATTAAATGCATCGTAATCTACTGAAAGATAAGTAAAACACCTTTGCAAGGGTTTTACTATAAAAAAGGAAGATAATTAATTAAATTAGAATAATCCATCTAGTAGGTGAATTCCAATATCTTTGATTAGTTAGTTCATCAGTTTCATTGCTTTTATTTTGTTTTTCATATTCCCATTATTTAAATTATTTATCCTTTTTAAAGCTAACTTTTTGCTTTCCTGAAATAACAAAATTAAATGTTTTCCTCTAGGTTTGACTCCTAGAATTTTCTGAGATTTATTACCACGTTGATCGATGTCATATACTTGCAAGGTTGATCGCCAGATAAGCTCGTCCTTTAATGACTCATTTGCTTAGTGTATCAATCTACACAACGTCAGAACCAGTGAGACAACTCATCACCACATGTTTCAAATTGAGAGTAACATTGTTACTTTTTAATAACTTGAAGTGAAGCATTCCTACAACAAAAAAGTTTAAAATACTAAGCGCAAAAATAGGACTTTGGCCCTTAAAGTGATAATCCACAAAATGAGTTTCATTACTTTAGTTTATGCACGCCAACAGTGTCGGCATTATTTGTAGTGTATAATTAAAACAGTTGAGAATCGTCACACAGAATTACCCGTCTGAGTGTTGGCCAGTTCATGCATGTTTGGAAACGTTGGATGACTTACTTTCTAGAGGCTTTTAATATCTGCACATGGAAGGAATATGATGAGCAACGCATAAATCATACATGAAATGTAAAGAGAGAGATGAGAGAAGCTGCGTTTTTATTCTTTGAGCCGCAAAGATTGAAGGTTATTGAGCAGAAAATCCATGGCCTTCCATTCGACAATGAAAAGCATATATGCTAATTCTAATTTGGGTTCAAACTATTAACCTCATTTAAACTGTTTTTTTTAATAGCCTTCAATGGTTCGAGTAGATATATATGTTTTTTTTATTTTTTTGTTATTTTTAAATTTTAAAAAATTAGTCTTTTTAAAAATATTAATAAGATTATAGTATAAATTTGTGGTATAACTTTACAATGTGAATTCGATATTATGTTTAAAAAAACTTATTTATCTTATGGAATTATGATTTAAAATTTTATAATTATTCTAATAATTTAAAGTTAAATATTAAATTCATATGTTATATTTTCATTAACTAATTTTTTATTTGAAAAAAATTATTATACAGGCTCAAAGGCCGATTTTGATCAATAATAAGGGTCTAGCTTTATAAATAATGCTTGGGAGAATTATAGTAAAGTCTCTCACAATACTAATAAAAATTAGAATGCCCAATTGACAATTTAGCATAGCAAAAAAAAAATGGCAACTAAACAATTCAACAGCGTAAAATGACAATTAAAAGAGTTGTCATTTTCATCTATTAAGCTGTTGATGGATCTTATGATTTTTAATTGTAGAGAATAAATGAGTTAATTACTCTATAAACTTTAAATTCAATAGCTCCATAGACCTTAAATTTGTTTATTATGAAAATTATTCCCTTAACTTGTGAAAATATTACAATCTGGCTTTTGACATTAACAAAAGTTAACTTTAATTGCTAGGTGACTGAAAAATGAAGTCAAAAATTACAAAAAGAAGACCAATTTTTTTTTTCCTTTTCTCTAATTTTTTGGATGACTATAATTTTTTGGTCATTTTCTATAATTTTTGAGACACTTTTCTATCATTTTTTAGTTAACTAACAATCAAAGTTAACTTTTATTAAAGGCAAGTGTCAAATTACAACATTTTCAAAGTTGTGAGAATAATTTGCATAACAAATAAGTTCAGGGTCTAAATTGTTACTTGATCTAAATTTTAGAGAGTAATTTATTTATTTATCCTAATTAGATTATGAGGTTGTATATAATTTTTATTTGATTAGCCCAAGCTCTTGGGGGTTTATCCCAATAGCAATAGATCGGCTTATTCTCAAAGTCAGTTTTTAAACTATAAGTAAACTAAATTACCTAACAAAAAAAAATTAGGTGAATTGGGTCCCAAGCTCATCACAAATTCAAAAGACATTATAAAGATATTTACATATTGCCCACCAACAAGGTCCGTACATCAAAAAACGAGATTTGAAACTATAATTTTATTATTATAGGTCAAATTCTTATTAATTGGACCAATCTTTGTTGGTGGATGTTCAATATTTTAAGTAGTTTGGATTGTAAGAATAACATGGCAACCATTATTCATATTTTATGATATGTCACTCTATCACAGCTTCTTGAGTTCTATGAGAATTTCTCTCAACTAAACTGATTTGACCAACTATCTTTGAAAAATAAAATAAGATTTTATCACTTTTTCAAATGATTATGAGATTATATTACATTATCCAAAATAATTAATCCTAATTATTTAAAATTTAAATTTAGTATTCATCTGACAAAAAATCCCCAACACAATCTAATCTTTATTTAAAATCCACTTAGAATCACAATAAAATATTCTTTTTAAAAAAATAAACATCATTCTTTATTACGATATATGGGGTCCCTTTTAAGGGGAGGAAAAAAAAAATCTTTAAATCCAACTCACTTAAATTTTTTCTACATAAAAACAAGGATTTAAATCTTCTGATATTATTCAATTATGTGAAGATTTTATTTTTAAAAAGAGAGAGAAAAGTTTATATTTATAAAAATAATAAAATGAATAAAAATTCAAAAAAAAAACTTTACACAAATTAGCACAAATTTCAATCTAGAGAATTTGAATCTTAGAAACAAACATCTACCTGAGTTTGATATAATATTATATCGGACAAGAATTTCTATTATTACCAGATTAAAGCTGATATACTGGTTCATAAGAGGGTATCTAATTATAGTAATTATTCAAAATCTAGCTATAAAATTAGTTTGAGAAAGTCACAGTCAAGGACCACTGGACACAACTGATTTATCTGCAGAACCAAATAATGCTGATATTAATTTGCAGGACCAAAAAAAACCAATATATAATTAAAATTTTTTGTGAAAAGATAAAGCTACTACCCCTTTTATATAGGGAATTAAGTGTTGTTTAAAATGGCAATGAATTTTTTTTCTCAAATAGAGACTTGTTCACTAAATTATAATAATTCATCTCTATCAAATTAATATTTTGGGAGTTGTTAATGAAGGAATTTATTGTTAAAATAAAAAGTAACTTATTTTTCCTAGGTGAGAACTTATTAACCAAATCACAACACTTATTCCTCTCTACCACCACCGAGTTAATTTTTTAGAGTTATTAATAAAAGAATTTATTATTATTAAAATGGAAATAAAACTTTTTTCCTCCGAGTGGGGACTTCTTTTTAAAAGAGTATAGATACATAAAGGGGTAGTTTTATCATTTTATAACAAATTTTAATTACATTTATGTCTTTTGATCCTTCAAATTAACATAAAAATTATTTAGTCTAACATAGCAATTAATTGTGTCTAGTGGTCCTTGAGTGTGATTTCCCCATTAATTTGCACATTGGCCAGCCTATGAGCATCTGATGCATAAAGAAAAAAATGATAAACTATTTGCCCACTGCCTTTATAAACTTATATATAAACAACCCAACACTGTAAGTTGCACCACCCAATCCAAAGTTTCTCAAGATCGCTCTAAAAGAAAGAGAAGTTGTTATTATAAATATTAAGAGAAAATGGGAGCCAACCTTTCACAGTTGGATAATGTTGTATATCATAGATCATCTTCACTGTCATCTTCACACTCGCCATCTCCTTCTCGTATCATCACCTTCCATTCCTCTGGTAAATGGAAGGCTCACTTTGATGCCTCCAAGTCAACAAACAAGCTGGTGAGATCAGTTTTTCAATTCAGCCTTTAATGGTTATTACTTGATTTCTAGTTCTTTAATTTGATTAGAAAGTTCAGTACTGAATCTTGTTCATACTATAATTTCTTTGTTGAAGATGGTGATCGACTTCACGGCCACGTGGTGCGGACCCTGCAAAACGATGGATCCGATTATCAAAGAGTTTGCTGCTAAATATGCTGACGTGGAGTTCATCAAGATTGATGTGGATGAGCTGATGGTATATATATCAGATCATTCATATTTACCTTTAATTTCTTAATAATCCAAAAGTTACGAGGCTTCAATCGCATGGGACTTTTTAGCTTGTCCAAGTATATGAATGAACTTAAATCGATTTGGAAAGTCTCATGTCAGATAAAGTTAATTCAATAACTAATATAAAATAAACAAGAAAGATTCATAAATTAATTTGACCCTTAAAATTTTGAGTTAATATGTGGCTTCCTTTTATTATCCTTGTCATTTCTCCTCTCCTCCCCTTTCCGAGTAGTTACTCTTCATTTCTAGCAAGATTTTGAATGGTTGTGAATTTTATTATATATACATATACCATGCACCTTTTTAAGTTATATATTATTGCAAAGGTTGTGTGCGCGTATAGAAGTCACACTGCTCATGACTTAAATTATAAATAGTCTCTACGGAGAAGGAGCCCCATTATTCATGGCTTGTGTGCATAAATATATAGAGATTACACACATATATATATATGTATATATATATACTGATGAGAAAATAATAATGGAAACTTGATCAGGAAGTGGCACAAGAGTTCAAAGTGCAAGCAATGCCAACATTCATACTCATCAAGAAAGGAAAAGTTGTGGACAGGACTGTGGGAGCCAGGAAGGAGGAGCTTCAGAAGCTCATCGAAAACCACAGAAAATGAATATATATTATATTATATTATATATATGTATGTATATGTATGTGGCGTAATAAGTAAGTCAGCATGACTAGCTAGCTAGATCTGCTCTATCTCTTTATATATATATATATATATATATATAACTAGGGTGTGACCTTTATTATTTATATTTCTGAGTATGGAAGAAGAACCATTAGCGTTATGTAGACCAAACATTGCATGAAAGAGGACAAAAAATTAAATAAGTTGTGTCCTTACTTTGTTTGCCATGAAGATGGCGTGATCTTGTTCATCATATATAAATATTATTGAGGGTTTGCTTTGAGGATTCAATCTATGTATATGTTTCCAGTTTATTTATGAATTTCAGATCTTTTAGGTTGGATATGGGACCAATTTTTCATATTTGTTTAATAAAATAAAAGAAGTAGGACTATAGTTGGAAAAGACAATTAGAAAAGTTATCAAATATCTATATTTTGAATTAAGTAAGACTTCTAGAAAGTATTTTGTATTACAATCTGGAAAAAGTATGTAACAAGAGATAATTTGTCTTAAACTATACATATAATATTGGAAATTACGTTTTTTTTTAATGTGAGGTGGAGGTGTTTTATTTGCTATCTATATCAAGGGTCCTTCCAATCATTGAAGGAATCGAATTTAATATTATTATAAAAACATTAAGAGAAATTTTCCGTAGAATATATTTTTTTTTAGAGTCAAAAGGAAATTTACTTTTAAATTATAGGCTCATGAGGTTATGAAACTTTAAACTTATTTTTTGTGTAATGTTCTTCTTCAACATTTTAAAATTAAAATCTCACCCTTATCATTAGCAAAAATTAACTTTGATTGTAAGTTGACCATAAAATTATAAAAAATGACCCAAAAAATTATAAAAAAAATCCCAAAATTTACAATCAAGGATCCCAAAAATTACAGAAAATCACCAAAAAAAAAATTCAATCAACCTTCTTGGTTCTTTTCTATAACTTTTGATATCTTTTTCTGTAATTTTTATAACAACCAACAGTCAAGGTTGGCATTTGTTAATGGTAAGAACAATATTGTACCGTTTTAAATTATTGAAAAGGATTATTGTACTAAAAATGAATTTAATGTTTTAGACATACGTTCTTGACTCTATAATTTAGGGGCAATTTTGCCATTAAATCCTTCTTTCTCTCTCAAACTAATTTACCAAAGATGCTTTACTTTAGCAGAGTATTTGTCATTTAATTAGCAGGTAAGCATCACGTTCAATTAATTTTATATTGCCTTTGGACACTGATCATCAAGATCTTCTGGAACAAGCCATTTTAAAGGTCAATGGATCAATATCAATATAAACAAGCATTAATTTTATCAATACGACTGACCCATCGCTTACCTCTCCCGTAAAAATTAAATTATTTTATCTTCTGTGTCTTGCCTCATTTACGTCATGACCCATGAGTTTCGCTTTTACAAAAGGCATTTTTGTGGGTGTCACTTTTAAAAAGATTAAACGCACAAGATGCTTTTTGTCTTTTAAATCAATACCTTTTGTTAGGAAAAAAAAAAATAATTTTAGATTCTTATATTTTATTCGCATTTTACTATTAACCCTTGTACTTTTCTTAGATGCTTTAGATCCCTATAATTTTATTTTTATTATTTTAGATCCCTATACTTTGTTCATGGAGGGATCTAAACTAATGAAAAATAAAAATATAAGGACCTAAAACACTCAAAAATATGTGCATGTATCAATAGCAAAATGTGAGTAAAAGGAAAGGACTTAGAGTTATGTTTTGCCAACAAAATGAAATTTTTAATAATATAGGGACCTAAAACAATGAAAAAAAAAGTGTACGGGCTTAAAATACTAAAAAAATGTGTAGAAACTAATAATAAAATGTTAGCAAAATGTAAGGATTCAAAGTTATATTTTCTCCAAAAGAAATGAAATGTTTAATGAAAATCCATCTTTAATTTGCTTTCCCATCATTAACATGGACATAAAAAAAATTTTGCAGCGGATTTCTGAAACTTCTCTCACAAATAAAAGTCATCACAAATTCTGCGAAAGAAAAAATCGTTTTTTTTATAAAAGATGAAATTTGTGATGAAATCCATCTCAATTTGCTTTTGCAATGGGCCCTTCCCTTGTTAACACAGACATAAAAAATTTTGTAATGGATTTCCAAAATTTCTATTGTATAATAACCCGTCATAAATTCTGCCACAAGAAACTTTTGATCACAAATTTTCAATTTTAATTTGCCATAGTTTAAACTTTAAAGTATGCTAGATCTCTCAGGATCAACATATATAAATACCATTGAAAAAAGATAACACTTATATATCATTATAGCATACGCATGTATGCATTCACTCACGCACGTAAAGTTTGTCATTCGTTTTCTTGCAGTACTTATGTTTTTTTTTTTCTCGGAACAATAAATTAACTTTTTATGCAATATTTGGCAAGTAAAAAATTGTATTTTAGAAATTTTAAAAATAAAAAAAAATATATCTAACTAATTTTTTTCTAAATACATTTCTCATTTTCTTTCAAGAAAACACTTGTCATGTATTGAACATGTACTTAGTCCCTCAAATTTGCCTTAATCATTATTGATCTTATAATATTCTAAGTTTTCAACTTGAAACTCTGAGTGTTTAAGAAGGGTAAATTAATCAAATAAGTGATTTATAAATTAATGGTGTTTTTGGGACACTAATAAAGTTTTTGGACCTCTAAATAGCCTTAAAGATGAGCTAAAATAGTGTACAGGTCAACTAGGCTTAAGAGGGTGGCCAAAAAGTCATGTGGTAGTTGCTGTGCCATGTGCCATGACGCATGGCCAATTCTAGGATTAAACCAGACACGAAATGCGTCTGATTTCAAAGGATAAAAGAAGGAAACAGAAGAGAGATCAAAGAGGAGGACTTGAGTGTGTTAGGATTTTCTTGAAAAACATCAATTGGGGAGTATATTGAGCTTGGAATCCACATTGGTAAGCTTTCTATCATTTTCCTTTCTCTTTTATGCTGATTTTTTGTAGTTTTGGGGGTGTGGTTGAAGCTTGATTCGTATTTCCTTGGAGTTTGATCGAACCCATTGACTTAATTAAGGTCTTGGAGTTAAATCATGATTTTAAACCTAAGTTTATGAATTGTAAAGTGGTTTGAAATTTTTGATAAGGGTTTGGATGAACCCTATATGGAAATTTGGAATTTTGAAACAATGTGGGTAAATGATTGGCAATATTAGTATGTTTGGGTGCTAAACGAGATTGATGAAGTGTGTTGAAAGAGTTGAAATTGATAAAATGAAATCTTTGGATATAATGGATATTCAAAATTTAGTGATTTCAGAGTTTAATTAGAGTCATAATTAATAATTATTGCTTAATCATGTAGATTAATTAAATATTGCTCGAGTATTGTTATGCGTGTGGACCGCATGGAGCAAACGTTAGACCACACACTACTACCAAAAACACTTTCTAAAGCGCTTATTTTTTTTATCTGTAGGAGCGCTTTAAAAGTGCTCCCGTAGCTAATGCTCCTATATATAAGAGAGCACTTTAGAAGTGCTCCTGTAAGGGTAGCTTATAAGAGCACTTCCTTTAAAAGCACTCCTGTAAACCCCTCTACAAAAGCACTTTTGCTCACAAGCGCTCTTGTAAGCTACCTTTAGGAGAGCGCTTCTAAACACAAGCGCTCCAATAAGGTCACCATAGTTCTATCAAAAGAAAGCGCTCTGGTAGCCTCATTTTTTATTTTTAAAAAAAGCAACTCATTTTTTTATATAATGTTACATGCTTCATAAATTTAAATATAATATTCTAAAGTAAAAAATTGAACATAACAAGAAAAATATACTTTCATTTGAATTTAAAAATATACAATGTTTTTGTGGGTTTGGTAGCCACAATCTCAATCAACTAGTCTAACATCAAAATTAGTACAAAGATTTTTAGTATAATCTTCTAAACATTGTACTATAAGAAAAAAATTATTTAAAAGGAAAAAAATTTCTTTCCACAATTACGCCAGCCTACAAAAAGATAAATAATTACAGCAATTAACTTCAAGTGATCTTTATCTATACTTATACGTAAGAGCAGCCACTAAGCGTTATACTCAGGATGTCTTCATGCAATAATTGTATATAGAGAACATGAATAATCGTCTCAGTAAGCAATATCTTAAATAAGTTGCTCTCTCAAACCCTCAACCAATGAACTGAAATTTGCAAGGTCAATAATACACATCATATATACAAAGAATGAAAGAGATTTACATTTCAAAGCCAAATTGATAGCTCATTGCATAATGGCTAATCAAAACTAAAATAATAAAATATAATATAAACCAGTTGGATAGAAATACAAGAATAGGCATATGTCTTTACAGCTATGGTTATTGAGAGACGCAAAGCTTTTGAACCAGTGTACCATGAATCTACCATGATAAATTTAATAATTACATTTATTGATCCCCACCCTATCAGTAGCAATTGTTTACATAAAAAATATCATCATAAAAGTTAATTTCAATGTTTTCAATGCTAAAATTAATATACATCTCTAATACTTTACTGCTATAAAAAAAGTATCAAGAGTGTAACCCTAATAAATTAAGCCACAAATGCAAGCTAGATGGAAGAAAGCTGCACTGATATATCTCAGACACAGAAACACAAATACTCCAACATAACTCCATGATTCAATATCCTCTCAACAGAACAAATAGAAGTTCATTAAATAATGAAAAAAAATGCAATATGCACAACAACACAGTTGCAACATAAAAAGGAAAAGAATAAGAGAATTAACAGTTTAATTATCTACATGAAAAGGATTTAGAACAAATGAAGATAAGAATGGTCAATAAGTACCTCCAAGCTTTTGAGTTTCTTTTATTACTTAAGTGCAAGTGTTGTCTCGCCAGCTGCTGAAAGCTGCATCCTTGGCCACAAGCACGGGTGTCATGAACAATGCAGTCGAACCCGTACGCGCATAAATTATTTCAATAGCACGAGTATTATTTCAAAAGCATGACTTACTTGTCGACATCAATTCCATTGTGACCATGTGCAACAATATCATGCAAGAATTGTTTTCCCTGGGCCCAATGTCTATGAAACAAAAGTGTAAAAATGAAATTGAGCATACAAATAGTTGAAGAATTTGGTATGAAAATAAAGAAAATAAATCCAACAATGTGAAAAAAAAAAGGAAGGAAGGAAGAATCCAAGGTAGCTTACTCTTTGCGAAGCACGATCGGGACTCGCTATGATCATTTCCTGTCAAAAAGTAGAAGGATATTAAATTTAA